ATCAAGACACCTTCTTCTCAGAGAAGTATAATCAATATGCTCTTCCCACGTGGATTTTTCACTAGGACCCATTTGAATTTCAAAGGCTACAAGCAAAAACAGTGATACTTCACAATATGAAAAGAAAAAAAAAAACCCAGCCAAAACCCCAAGCACTACAATTTGTAAACAAAGCCAGGAGCTTACTATGAAGAAGCAGTAATACTTAATATTTTCGTGCTCACAGATTGGCTTAATGTAACTGGAATCAAATCCCCAAAAAGTTATAAAAAATTTTATTTTGGCAATAATTAAAAACAAATAATTTTCTGAAAACCACAAATGTAACATGAGTGTTTAAACCTCTTCTTTATGATTTTCATTAAAGCTATTTCAAATTTTAGGAATGTTGAGCTTTTGTAGCCATAAAGAAAAAAGTAAATTGCAAATTTTAAGATTAAAGCTAGTTCTAACAGCGTAAGCTGCATCCCTTTTGGAAAGGGTATTCATCAGGTATAGTAACCAAAGGGCATCATATCAATCATATTACAAAAAAAAAAAGGTTTCTTCATCCACTATGCTCAAGTTTGAATTACTGACATGGGTATACAGAAAAACATATGAGCCACAGTTTTATTTCTAAATTTCAAGTGTCTCAATTTGTGCTGTGCCTCCTCCAGTAAAAATGATAGGGACAAAAATTTAAATTTAATGTGTAGGTGCTAACTAAGGCCTTTAAAAGGCTTTACAGTAAAAAGGAGGGACTTCCAAAACATACCACTCGCTGAGTAGCACTAGAAAAGCAGTTATCAGCAGTTGTGGAGCTACTGCTATTGAAACCAGTGGAAGAAGCTCTCATAGAAGTTTGGGAAGATCTAGAAGAGACATGGGACATGAAAGACGGCCATACACAAGTAATGTACATCTAAAGGAATAGTGTTAATGCCTTCACAGCATGAATTTGCTCAAACTAGAAGAGCAAAGTTGCTACAGACGAGATTTTTCATTACAATATATCTTAAGCTCTGTTTGCAGCTGTGACATTGCTGCTGCTGGAAAAGGGTGCTTTTGCAAAAAAAAAAAAAAAAAAAAAAAGAAATCCTAGTCATCTGACTGTCATTTGCTGTTGCAACCAAGCACTCTGAAGCATGGTTCAAAGACAAAACAGCTTCTAAGTCACTAGCTGACCACATGATGCTGGTTGTCTACATCCAATGCCACTTCATTAAAATCTCTTTATAGCAGTCTATGAAGATGAAGAGAAGAAAAAAACCCACCAAAATAAATTCCAGCACGCACTCATAGTTTAGATTGTCTAAAAGGATTCTGAAAAGTGCCAATGAACACTTGTACTGAAATTCTCCCATTCTATATAGCAACACACAGCACAAAAGCTTTCCACTGCTCAGTGGAAATCCTCAGGCAGCATTCCAAACATACTTCACATTCAATAAGAATTGCCAGTCGCACTTCTTTTTCATCCACTCAAATTATGAAAAATCTCAGTATAAAGCCACAAAAATTCATCTAACTTGGGAGCCGGGAGGAGCAAGTACAAAGCTAGCACTGAGAAGAAATTCTGATTTTAGAAATCAACAGAAATAAATAAACATTTTTTTAATGATACTGTGATTTATTTTCAGTGAGGCATAAAATTCACATGACCTTGAAATGGCAATCATGTCAACCTGCACTACTTTCTGCATCAATAGCTTCTATTAAGAAAGCTATTGGTTTATTTTCAAATCCCTTTGGCATATTAAAGCAAGAGAAGGTACATGCATGACTCTGTGATGCATTCTCTGCAAGTCTCCCTGTGAGGATCCACAAACAGGTACAACAGACTGGGTCTCTCAACAAAACTGAACATTTTGGCTAACCTAGGAACCTATTCAGACTTACTCTTGGATCTGAACTGTAGCACAGTCATCTACCTAAATCAAGTAACACCAGATGCTTAAGAAGGAAGAGAGGGAACTATTTCAAAGGCCATGATTTTCAGCCCATCAGAGTCTTCTGCAATCTACTTTTTAGTATTTGGAAAATGGCATAACTTCAGAGGCATGAGACTACAAGCTCTTGTGGAATCAGCACTGTCACAATTTCTAGTTCAATGCTAGACTCCTAACTGCAAGAAAGTCTGATGGCATTAAGTTAAAAATCTACTTGAGCTATACAAAAATATTTTTTCATTTGTTCTGCATTTGTCATCTTTCAATGTCACTCAGTGTGAACTGCTTTTTGAATCACTGTTGCGACAAAAAAATCCTTTGAAAAGCAAACCTAACCTGCTGTAGATATGAGATTTCAAAATACTTACACTTAACCTTTAGCATAAAGTCTAGTGTGATATTTAACTTTAGTACACTTCAGTATTATTAAACATGTCCAGAACAAGTGTTAGTCCCTCATTCTCTCTCTGTCTCCTGCCTCCTCCCTCTTTTTTTTAATAGGGACACAGACATCTATCAATTAGCAGGTCAGCAAAATAATAATTAAGATGTTTTCACATAAATGCCCATTGGTCTAAGACTGAAAGAGGTCATTTTTTTGCATGCATAACAACACAGTTACACAGGCTACTATTTTTCTAATTCTACTGGAGTATGCGCAGTATCAGTAAGTGGAAAGAACATATTATGGTTACAAAGAAAAGAGAATGTTTAATCAATCGGGGGAACTGCCTGGAATCCCCAAGGAAGCAGCTTGGGGATGAAAGAGAAATTTACATCAGTTCAAAGCCTTGAAGCACAAGTTTTTCCAACATTCACTAACCATATCATGAAGAAGACCACAGTGAAGCTCTCAGCTGGACAAAGTCAAGTATGAAATTCTAATTATTCATAAACAAGATAAGCGGAATATAAACAACACAGCAGGAATTTTTTAAAAAAGCCATTGATTTTTTAAAAGATCTTGAAATGCATTAACAAGTTGAAAATTTGGATGTTTCCAATTATCCCAGTCATCCAGACACTATTAGTTATTTCCAAATTTTAAGTGTAACTGCATGTCTTTGCAGCATTAGGAACTTTTAAAGGAAACAAAAATACAGGACTTTTTACAAAATGCCTTTAGGTATCTTAGAATACACATAAGTAAGTCTTTAACCTGTCTGCTGCCCACAACTCCTAGCATTTCAAAACCTTCCCACGAGTTCATTAAGTCTTCAAAGGTCAGATGGCTGGGCAGCTTCTCTCTCTCAAAGCCACTTCCACAGGCTGCCTCCTTTTTAGAACTCTACATTTTTTGACAGTAACATTGACAAGACACACAAGGAATTTTATCCTAAGCCATGTGGTCTACTATTAAAACTCAAAAGCCTTTATGGTCAGCCATGTGTTCATCCCAATATCTGCATTGCTTTTGCTCCCTAAAGTTGTACTAACCAAGTTCATTTACTGCTCCCCATCTCCAAATCCCAACATGGTGATCCAGAGACTGGAGGCACTTGGTAAACACGGCAGCATTAATTATAGGAAACATCGTATTAGTTGTGCAAGACCTGTGAAACTCATATCTCTCTTTGGACGCATCAGCAGAAATAGCATGCTGGTACCCGTTTTTACATCTCACACCCCATTTTTGACAGTTTTTAGACTTCAAATGTCACGGCTTAACAGCCCCCTCCTTCTCCTAGCGCCGTATGACTTATCTCTTGGCAATAGGCACTGAAGACACCGCTAAGAATCAAGGCTGAAATTACCATCCCTTAGCATTTCTTCCACATTTAGCAAACACTCGTGACGTTCACGGGGATACGGTATTCTAATCAAACCACGCCTGCGGGACCAGGGTAACGCCGGTTCTGGCAGCCCATCTCCTCAGCCCCAGGCCGGCCTGCTCCTACAGCCTCCCCAAACCCAGCTTACAGGCAGCAAGGAATGACTAGAAGGAGAAGCGATGCCAAACGCCTTTCCCGGCCGCCCAGCCGCACCGAGAGCCATCCCCGCTCGGCCCCGTGCGCCCGCCCAGAGCCCCCCGCCCCCGAGCCGGGGTCACTTACTGAGCTGCCCGGCCCCGGGCTCCCTGCCGCCGGCTCCCCCGAGCCCGCTACCGCTGCCCAGGCTGCCCAGGGCCCCGCCGGCGGGCGGCGTGCCGCTCTGCCGCTCGAAGTTGCCCGGGTTGGAGAAGAAATCGCGGAGCCGCGGCAACTCCCGGCCGCTCTCCAGCAGCTCCGTGTGCAGTTCCAGCGCTGTCAGCAGGAGCTGGTCCCGCAGCAGCTGCGCCGCTATCGCGTCCATCGGCACCCGCGGCGGCTCCCCCGCCCCCGCGGCGGCATCGCCCGGCGCCGCCGCTCGCAGCCCCGGCAGCTCCTCGGGGCTCCCCGCCGCCTCCGCCGGCGGCTGCGGGTACGCGGGCCCGCCCGGCTCGGTGCTGCTGCTGCTGCCGCCGCCGGCCCGCGCCTCCTCGGGCTCGTCCTCCTCGGAGTCGCTGAGGAAGGGGTTCACGCTGCCGCCCCCGCCCGCCGCCGCCGCCGCCATCTTACAGCCCGACGCGGCGCGACCGCTGCCGGGGTGATGCCGCGGCAAAGCCTGCGCGGGGCCGCCGCCGCCCCTCCTGGTGGGGCTGGGGCCGGGGCCGAGGCCGCTGCCGCTCCCCTGTGATGGTAGTGATGGTAGTGATGATGGTGGTGGTGGTGGTGATGCTGCTGCTGCTGCGGGCGCTGCCGCCACGGGCGGCCGCAGCGGCTCCCCCCAGCCCGCCGCCTCCCACCACCCCACTGCCGCTTCCGGATCGCAGCCTTCGCGAGAGCGCTCGCGGCCAACCGCGAGGGGCGCCCCGGCGGCCGGACCCGCCCCCTCCGCTGTGGGCGGGGTCCGAGGAGCGGTGCCGAAGGGAGACGTCAAAATAAAGGGGCGGGGCTAAAACGAAGGGGCGGGGCTTTCGGGCCACCTCCGAGTCGGGGCGTGGTCATTATAAGGGGCGGGGCCTCGTGACGGTCCTCGTTGGGGCGGGGTCGGGGTCGGAGGCGTGGCCCAGGGTCGGGCGGAAGCGGAAGTGTCCTGTGTTCCCGGCGCGGGAGAGGAGTGAGTCTTGGCGCCTGCGCGTTCCGCGGTTCCCCCGGGGAAGGGGCGGTGGATGCCCCACTCGTCCCGGGGCCAGATCCTCGGGCGCGGGGGTGAGCACGGGCTGTGTCTCACGGCCTCTGGAGAGCTTTGGCCGCTCCGCAGGCAGCACAGCGGCCGCACAGCCTGTTGCTGGGACGGGAGGGGTGCGGGGCTCGGCTTGGCCCCGTGCCGGAGTTGTGTTGGCCGGGACAGCGTGGAGCTTCCCGGGGAAAGCAGCGCCCTGCGAAGGCCCCCGGGCAGCTGCTTGGACACTGGAACGGGCCCAGGGAGGTGGTGGACTCGCCGTTCCTGGAGGTGTTTAAGGAAAAACTGGATGTAGGACTTCGTGCCATGGGCTAGTTGACGTGATGGTGTTTGGTCATCGATTGGACTCGATGATCTGAGAGGTCTTTTCTGACCTAATTGATTCAGTGGGTGTGTGAGCCGTCTCTCAGCGTCAGATGTGCCTCATGGGCCTGGGGTTAGGGAGGCCATTACTACTCAGGAGCACAGGTGGGTAGTAAGTTTATGGCCTTTGGAAGAAGAGTCTGGCAACTTCGGAGTACTACAGGGATGTTGTGAGGTTTTGCAGGGAGAAAATTAGAAGGGCCAGAACCCAATGAGAACTTAACTTGGCTACTGTTGTAAAAGACAACAAAACCTGTTTACAAATACATCTGTCACAAAAGGAGGACTAAGGAGGCTCTTCATCCTTTATGGGAAGGAAGGGGAGACAGATGAGGAAAAGGCTGATGTATAGAATGCCTTCTTTGCCTCAGTCTTTAATAATAAAGCCAGTTACCCTCAGGATACACAGACCCTTGAGGCAGAAAAGAGGAACAGGCAGTAGAATCCTCCAGTAATCCAGGAGGAAATGTTTTCTGACCTGCTACATTGCTTAGACACTCACAAGTCTATGGGACCAGATGTTATCCACCCAAGAGTACTGAGGGATATGGCATAAGAGCTTACCAAGTCACTTTGAATCATTTATTACAGTCCTGACTAAGCAGACAAGTCCCAGGTGACTGGAGGTCGGCAAATGCGATGCCCATCTACAAGAAGGGCCAGAAGGAGTATCTGGGGAACTACAGGTGTGCCAGTCTGACCTTGGTGCCAGGGAGGGTCATGGAGCAGATCATCTTGAGTGCCATCACATGGCACGTACAGGACAACCAGGGGATCAGGCCCAGCCCGCATGAGTTTAGGAAAGGCAGATCCTGCTTGACCAGCCTGATCCCCTTTTATGACCAGGTGAACCTGCCTAGTGGATGAGGGAAAAACTTTGGATGTTGTCTACCTGGACTTTACTGAAGCCTTTGACCCTGTCTCTCATATGCTCTTGGAGAAACTGACTGCTCATGGCTTGGACAGGTGTACTGTTCACTGTGTAAAAAACTGTCTGGATGACTGGGTCCAGAGAGTGGTCATGAATGGAGCTAAATCCATGTGGTGGCGAGTCACAAGTGAAGTTTCTGAGGGCTTGGTTTTGAGGCCAGTCCTGTTTAATATCTTTATTGATGATCTGAGTGAGGAGATCAAGGGCACCCTCAGTCAGTTCACAGCTGACCCAAGTTGGGTGGGAGTGTTGATCTGCTGGAGGGTAGGAGGGCTCTGCAGAGGAATCTGGACAGGCTGGATCAATGGCCCAAGACAACTGTATGAGGTTCAACAAGGCCAAGTGCTGGGTCCTGCTCTTGGGTCACAACAACCCCATGGAGCACTACAGGCGGAGGGACAGAGTGGCTGGAAAGCTGCCCAGTGGAAAAGGATGTGGGGGTGCTGGTAGACAGCGGCTGAACATGACCCAGTGCTGTGCCCAAGTGGCCATGAAGGCCAATGGCATCCTGGCTTGTATCAGAAATAGTGTGGCCTGCAGGACCAGGGCAGTGATCATCCCCTTGTACTTGGCACTGGTGAGGCCGCATCTCAAGTCCTGTATTCAGTTCTGGGCCCCTCACTGCAACAAAGACATTGAGGTGCTGGAGCATGTCCAGAGAAGGGCAACAGAGCTGGTGAAGGATCTGGAGCACAAGTCTGATGAGGAGTGGCCGAGGAAGCTGGGGGTGTTTAACCAGGAAAAAGAGTTTCAGGAAAGAGCTTATTGCTCTCTACAGCTACCTGAGAGGAGGTTGTAGCAAGGTGTGGGTTGGCCTCTTCTCCTGGGTAATAAGCAACAGGAGGAAAGGAAATGACTTCAAGCTGTGCCATTGAATTTTTTCATAATATCCATTAGATTGGATATTAATAAAAGTTTATTGACTGAAAAGGTGGTTAGGCATTTAAGCAGGCTACCCAGGGAACTGGTAGGATCACCATCCATGGAAGCATTCAAAAGATGTGTGAATGTGGCACTTAGGAACATGGTTTAGCAGCGGACTTGGCAGTGCGGAATTAATGGTTGGACTTGATGATCTTAGAGGTCTTTTCCAACCTTAAAGGCTCTATGATTCTATGAAGTTGTGCATCTGGAAGTGTGAAGTTCCCACTCTTGAAAAGATGATGTGGTTACTTTGTCTGTTGCCTGGTGAGAAACTCGAAGTCAGAGTGTAGCTACAGGTAATGTTTGCTGCTGAAGGAAATTCAGCTCATTAAAAACAATTCAGAACAAGGCCAGCATTGGTTTCTTTTTTGTTTCTTAAAAATAATGTTCTGTTCCCACTAATGGGAGCTCTGTGTAAAGCTGATTCACTAGGAGTTACTTACTGGGGCTGAACTCTTGGTAATAGAATAGTGGGAACGTTTTGCAGCGATACGGAGACCTAAAAGCACTGCTGAGTGCTGACTGCAAACTCGTCCAATCAAATGGTGGTGTGCCATAAAACACCAGTGCTTTCCTTCTGGTTCAGATTTGCATAATTTTTTCATAGATAGCATGATCAATTTTGTGTCCTGTCCCGCAATAAACTTCTCATTTTATCACTACCTTATTGTTTTATGTTGTTGATACACAGAAAGAGCGTTGACCAGCGGAGCAGGAACTGGTTGTAGCATAAAGTAAAATGGTGCTGTGTTTGAAATTCGAGCGGGATCACAGTAAGAACAAAAACATTTTACTGTTGCTGCTCCAGTGGAATGAGGAACCCTTAAAGAATCTTTCTGCTTTTTCCTTTTCGCTCTGGAGAGCTAAAGCGTGTTCAGTACGAGGTTGTTGAAAGCCGAGTCTGGTGTTGTGCCTCTTCCTTTGGGATGGAGGGAGAGCCCTGCCGGTGTCCTGCAGCGGCCTCTGGTGGCGATGGATGGTGATCGCATGTAATTCCCTTACAGGGAAGGGGCAATGGTTACCGTGGGGGGAGTCCAAACGCTCAATTCTACCTTTTCTTATAAAAAACTCATTTCTGCCGGCTTCAATGTGCTGCTGCAGTAAGGACTAACTTTTTTTCACTCTTCCTCACCGAAAATAGTGTAAAAGCATTCCGCTGTTTCAGTACTTCAGAAGAGACTTGTTTGGGTTTATGAAACAACCAAACTGTTTACGCATGACACTCAGTTGCTCCAAAATAATTTACGGATGGCTGGGACAAAACTAACATAGCTAAAATGTGTATTCCAGAGTGTAAGTAGACAAACGTGCTTTTAACAACTTGCTTTAAACAGTTTCTTAGGTACTGAAGGGCTATTATTTTGAGAAACCTGAGAATAAAACCTAATAGTGTACCTTGGAGGATGTGTGAGACAGAATAAGATGCGTGAGTTCTGGAAACAGAGCATTATATAGGTCTACGTGAGGCAGACAACTGCAAATTAATTTTTTCTTAATTTATTCAGTAGTCATTCTGAGTAAAGCACATTGTTCATCAAGCTGATTTGTCTCTTACTAGAGTTGGTGTTTCCTTCTAACTTTCAGAGGATTTGAGTTCTGTGTCTGAAGAACAGCATACCTAGATACATCATGGAAAACTGAGTATCCAAAATACAAGGGGTTTGTAGGAAAATATCTTAAGAGGTTTTTGGAGGAGGTGGTATGTAAGCAATTTTTTCAGTCTGTGCATGTTTGGTTTTTTTTAATGAATTTTTAAAGTTATGGTTTCTGAGATGGAAAGCAAGTAGAAAAAAATCAGCCTTTATTTTTACTGTGTTGATTTTGATTGGAGTGTTAAATCTTGAGCTAATGGTTCAAAGTTTGATGAACTTAAACATGACCAGTTTCAGGTTCCCTCTGGTATTTGGTGGGGTCATGGGTGTGTAAAGTGTGCTTTTTTTCTGTGCTACTGTGGTGCAGTGTCAGCTGCTCTCATGTGAATGAACACACAGTTTAAGTCAAGCTATAAGGGGTTTTCTGTTTCAGTTTCTACAGGCAAGATTAATTTCTTTTAAAGTAATTAATTCTGTTAGGTACATGTTGTTTTATTTCTGTGCTGAATACTTGAAGTATATGAAATAATGTGTTCTAATGAATCCTACAGTGAAGTAGGGTAGCTTTTTTTCATCTGATTGGGATCTCAATCAAGGCACAGGGAACAAAATAATGGAGGAAAATCTGAAGCAAATCTGATTTCTACTTTAAAATAATGCTGATCTGTGTGTTCTGCCAACTCTTGCTCAAGTTTTCTTCTAAAACTGAGCTTCCTGAAAAAATCTTTGTCTATACAAGTTTATTTAAGACTAACTTTTACCCCCTTTCAAAAAAAAACTTAAAGGAAGTTATGATTTTTACCTTTGCCTTCACACATTAAAAATGAGCTTTGGTGCCTTGTAAACTCTCTAAGCTCAAAAATATTTTGATATTCTGCAGGAGCTGAATAATGCAAATGTTGAGACTCATAATGTTGGTAGCTTGTGCTTTAAGACCTTTGCCATTTCTCTGAAACTGTATCTGTCTGTTCCAGTTTTAAGGGCATGTTTCTTAATGAGAGTAGCCTATATCAGTAGTTAATAGTTACTTGTGTGTTACGCACAGATGTAGCTTTACCCTGACAAACGGACTTTAAAAAGTGTTTATTAAATTGGGATTTTAAGTAAAAGTAGTACAGCAATGTGAGGGGGCTCTCAGAAATATTTTCAGCCTCACCAAAAATGCGATAATGACCCATGAAATCAGATAAGAACCTGAATTAAACAAAACAAACTC